TCGTTGCTTAAAGAAGTAAAATTAAAAGGTTGTTAAAGGATAGAGGTATTGATATAACTCTCTTTCAAGAGACAAAGAAGGCCTCCATGTCCGAAAAGGAGATCAAAGAGATTTGGGCTAGGGATAGAATGAAATATATGACTGTGGATGCTGAGGGCTCTGCTGGTGGCCTATTATGCATTTAGGATCCAGGTGTATTTCAGATGTCAAGTTGCTGCTGTAATAGAAGGTTTGTTCTTCTCTCTGGGTCTTTATTCTTTTCTTTTGATAGTGTCTTGATCAATGTGTATACACCAAATGAAGTGGGCCAAAGAGGTAAACTGTGGGAGTGTCTTCTAAAGTTAAGGGAGGAGTATTCTAAGCCCTGGTATATAGGGGGGACTTTAATGAAATTAGAAAGATTGGTGAGAGGAAAGGCTGCTCTAGGAGGGATAAGGGGATAAAGGAGTTGAATGATTTTGTTGATAGAAGTGAGTTGAATGATTTGCCTTTATTAGGCCGAAGGTTTACATGGTGTAATGCTAAGGAAGGGGAGAAATGGAGCAGAATTGATAGGGTTTTGGTGGATCCAAAATGGGTGGAATCATTTAATTTGAAATTGTGAGGACTTCCTCGAGTCATGTCTGATCATAGTCCTTTATTGCTAATGGAAGATGAGAGAGATTGGGTCCCTAGGCCCTTTAGGTTTGTTAATGCTTGGATGTTACACCCAAAATTCTTACCGTTTGTGGAAAAGTGGTGGAAGGAACATCAGGTGGAGGGGTGGGCTGGGTTTAGGTTATTCCAGAAACTGAAAGAGTTGAAATTAGCACTCAAAAAGTGGAATAGTGAAGTGTTCGGTAATGTTAATATTAAGTTGAAGAAGGTAGAGGATGAGCTTCATATGATTGATTTATTAGCAGAGGAAAGAGAGCTTGAAGAGGCAGAAAAAAGTAGAAGAAAAGACGCTAGAGTTGAGGCTGGATATTTAACAAGAATGGTGGAAAGGTTGTGGTTCCAAAAATCGAGGCTTAATTGGAATTTTTATGGTGATAAAAACACAAGATATTTTCATGTGTTAGTGAAATATAGACAGGGGAGAAATGAAATAAATACTCTAACTGTTGGTGATGTGGTGGTTGATGATCCATGTAGAGTTAAGCTTGAGGCCCTAGCTTATTTTCAGAAGCAGTACTCTGAGGATTGGCAGCATAGGCCTGTATTGGTAGGTCCATTTAAGTCAGTGAGGGATAGTCCTTGTTTTGATATGTTGGAGGCAGATTTTACTAAGGCAGAGGTACGGGTTGCTGTCAAGGGTTGTGATGGGAATAGGGCTCCAGGTCCAGATGGTTTTAACTTGGCTTGTATTCAGAAACTGTGGAAGGTAATGAAGTCTGATGTGCTGAATTTTGTGTTCGATTTCCATAAGAATTGTAAGTTGGTCAAAGGAATCAATTGCTCTTTCATCACTTTGGTACCTAAAAAGGAGAATCCAGTGGGGTTGGCGGATTATAGACCTATCAGTTTGGTTGGGTCGATGTATAAAATTCTGTCTAAGGTTCTTTCCTCAAGGCTGGAGACAGTGATTCCTCAGATCGTAAGTGAAAACCAATCAGCTTTTATTGGAGGGAGGAATATTCTGGATGGTGTTGTGGTGGCCAATGAGGTTGTTGACAGTTGGAAGAAATCTAGAAAGAAAGGAGTGATTATTAAGTTAGATTTTCAGAAAGCTTATGACTTATTGAATTGGGATTTCTTACTCTCCATGTTGGTTAATTTTGGGTTTGGGGGAAAATGGGTGGAGTGGATTAAGGTATGTATTACCTCAGCTAGGCTATCGGTGCTTGTTAATGGATCTCCTACAGAGGAGTTCAGTCCACAGAGAGGACTGAGACAAGGGGATTCCTTGTCCCCATTTTTGTTTATCATAGCTGCAGAGTGCTTAAGCATTTTGTTCAATAGAGCTTTAGATCTGGGGCTAATAAAGGGGGTTAAGATTGGCTCTGATGGGTTAGTCCTTACCATCTCCAATTTGCAGATGATTCTTTGTTATTGTGTGAAGTTGATGTAATGGAGATAAAGAATGTAAAGAAGATTCTGAGGTGCTTTGAGTAAAGATAAATTACCATAAAAGTGTAATTAGTGGTGTGGGTATTCTAGAAGAGGAAATGTCTGAGTACGCATCAGTGCTGAACTGTGAAGCTAAATGTCTGCCGTTCAAATACCTCGGTTTACCGCTAAGGGCTAACCCAAGTAGGAAAGCAACTTGGCGGCCTATACTAGATAAATTCAGAAGCAAACTAGCTGGTTGGAAAAGGAAACTGCTGTCATTTGCTAGAAGACTTGTTTTAATCAAATCTGTCCTGTCCTCGCTGCCTATATATTATATGTCATTGTTTAAGTTTCCACAGGGGATTGCTCGAGAATTGGACAAGTTTCAAGCTTGCTTTCTGTGGGGGGGATCTGAATTGAAGAGGAGGGTTCATCTAGTAAAATGGAAGGAAGTAGCGAAGCCTGTAGACCAAGAGGGCTTGGGGGTTAGGAGAGTGAAGGAAGTGAATAGTTGCCTTATGTTAAAATGGTGGTGGAGGTTTGGTGTGGAAAATAAAGCTTTGTGGAGGAGAGTTTTGAGCAGTAAATATAGGATTGAGGAGGGGAGTTGGAGCCCTCAAGTAATCTCTAATGTGAGATGTTCTAAAATGTGGAAGGATATATTATTACAATCTGAACAGAGTGGCAATCTAGTGGTTATTTTTCTGGACAATTGTAAGGTGAAAGTGGGTAATGGTCATAGAATCAAGTTTTGCAAGGATAAGTGGTGTGAAAACTTGAGCATAAAGATGCATTTCCACTGTTGTATAGGGTGGTAGTTGATAAGAGAGTGACTTTATCTGATATGATGATCAGGAAGGAGGAAGTCGGTGAATGGTCATTTCTGTTTAGAAGGGCACTGTTTGACTGGGAAATAGTGGAATTAATCAGGTTGGTGAGTCAGATTGAGGCAGGTCCTAATCTTAGGTGTTACTCAGAAGATACTCTTGTCTGGAAAGCCTCGGAATCTGGAAGATATTCAGTTCAATCTATGTATAAGCTATTGGTTGAGGAATCTAGCAATAGATGCACAGTTAGCAAAAAGGATTTAGGTTAAACATGTCCCACCTAGAGTTCAATTTTTTGGATGGCTTGCTTGGAAAGGAAAACTAAAGACGGCTGAGTTTCTGCACAAGATTGGTGTTCTGTCTGTTGGTGCATCTATAGAACGTTGTCTATGTAAATCTGGAGCTGAGTCTCTTATACATGTCCTTCTATTTTGTCCAGTGGCTTAGAGAGTGTGGTATGAAATGATTAGATGGTGGAAGATTCAAGGAGCACTGCCAGCCTCAGTGGAGGACTGTAGACGTCCCCGAACGCCCCGGGAGGGTGAGCTCCCGTTCTGTTCATTTGGGGTCACTACAGCTCGGACTCTCAATTTTGTGTCACGGTTCTGAGTCTTGAACCAAAGAGTCCAAATCCGGCAAATCGTTTTGAGAAACCAAGTCTTGAGGACGGTCAAAAATGAGGTGTCTACAAGGACATGCTTGAATGGTGGGCAGGGGTAGGTCTTAATAAAAAGGAAAGGTTAATGTGTAATGCCCTTCCTCTTATAGTGATGTGGTCTCTATGGAAACATCGGAATGAATGTTTATTTCAGGAGGTTGTTCCAAGTGTGGATGGAATTACGGATTTGATTAAGTTAAAAATGGCTGTGTGGTTTAAGGAAGTATTTAAGGAACACTTGTTCTCTGTTCATGATTTCATATTTAATCTACAGTGTATCACATTTAGTTTGGGAGGTGGTGCCAGAGGGTGAAGTATATAAGGAGGCCTATTTTTTCCTACTAGTCCTTCTACAGAATGCTTTCGGTTGGCATGCTAGGCTGCAGAGTTTTGTCTCAATCTGTGCAGGATAGTCTCTGCTGTGTGTGAGGAAGTTCTGCCTCCATGTTTTGGTGTTGGTTGGATTTGATGGAAGTTGATGTGTGCTCTACTTACTCTATAGGAATTCAGTTATTTTAACCATTGCTACTTATTGATCTGTAGAAAATTTCTCTGCTGTTTAGGTGGCTCTCAGAGTGTTTTGTTGCTAGTCTTGCTGATTCAGCTATCTGAAGTTTTTGTGGTGCTAAGGTTTGGAGATGAAGGTTTGTTTGCTGCAATTTTGATGGTCAGCTGCAATTTAAATGGTTAGCTTGCAGGTTTAGTTTGGTTTTGTTTCAGATTTGGGTGCTGAATGGTAGGCAACCTGCCGGGGTGTGCAATCTACCTTTTTTGGTGTATGCTGCTAGATTACTCTCATGCTGTGTATTCTGTTTCTGTTTCTTTGGTTTTCCTCTGTGTTGGATTCTCTCCAACTGGAGCTCCGGGCTTAATGTAGCTCCGAGCTCCTCTTTATTGATGTACTCTTTTTTATGATTTCATCAATAAAGATTTCTTCTTGCTGATCAAAAAAAGAAAAAAAAAAAAAACAAAACAAAAAGTTAAAAGTGCACATATAATACATATAGCACAAATACTGCACATAGAGTGCACAAATGGCATAACTAATGAACAGATAGATATATTTATTCTTAATTTTTTAATTTAATAGTAGACAAATATAAAATAGAATTGCAATCATTATAGCATTATTAAAATAAATTGACCCAAACATTTGCTTTCTCATTCTGTAAATTCAACCTACAAGATTAAAATAGCCACTCACTTCCACAACTTTTCCATTCCCCTCTCCCTTCTTTCTCTTATTCTATAAAAAATAATATTTGAGACCCATACATTTATACTTATAAATTCACCCATAATGATGTGACATAAAAGTTAGACCCATTATTATTAAGTGTGTAAAAAATTAAAAATTAACATATATCCTGACACATCATTATGAATAGTTTTTGAGGGTTTCGAACATGTTCCTTCTATAAATTCAACCGATGAGATTATAACATTCACTTTTACTTCTCCTTTCTTCGTCCCTCTCTCTCTCTATGGAAAACAACAATGGCCACTGTGGTATCCATTGTGCTACCATTGTTCGCTACCGTGAATGCCAAAGGAACAATGCTGCCAACGGCAGCAATCGCTTTCTCAATGCCGTCGTGGAGGAGTCTCATCCTTCGGTGACTTTTTACTATGCTGCTTACGGCTGCCATCGAAGCTTGCACTGTGTCAAGGAAGTGCTGGTCCAACTTGACCTCACTGTTATCGGAGTCCTTCACTCGATGTACGCTGCTTCTGTCGTTGCTGCCACTCGTCATCACCAAGCTCCAACTCCACCACCACCACCACTACCACCACGAGCGGCCATAGATGAGGAAAACCTCAATAACAGAAAAGTGGAACAAGAGCCGCCGAAAAAGAAAAGGAGGAGGGTGAGGTTTTCGGATGTGCAGATTATGGAGATGGTGAAGTACGCGACGGTGGAGCTGGAGTGGAGCCTTGGGGGACATAATGAGGATTATCATGGAGAATTTTGTGAGGTGATCAAAATCACTCCTTGGAGTTTCAAGGTTTGGATGAAAAACAACAAGAACAAGTACTTGGAATCTGAAGAATCCTCGACAAATGATCACAATGGCGGATCCGTTGTCTGATCTCGTCGGAGAATTCATCCATGGTGGTTTGAAGTTTAAGCTAAATAAATTAAAGAGTCTGTTAGGGTTTTCTGCTGTCTTGCTTGTGTGTTTTTTCATTTTTTGAAATGTTACGTATCCAGAAAAGTTATTTAGAATTTGACTAAATAATTTTTTTAATACTTTTTTGCTAAGTACGTTATATGTTTTTTTCTTTTTAATTTTTTATGTTTTTATCTAGGTCTCTTTTGTACGTTTTCTGGGTATATCTGTTAAAGGTCTTGGTAACTTTTGATGAAACAAACTTGTTGATTTGCTGCAGTTGTGAATGTAATGTGTTAAGTCTGTTTGCTCTCTCTCGCTCTTTCTCTCACGAATTATTAGTGATTGTATTTAATGCTCAACTTATCATCTTCATCTGAAGGGAAGAGGTCAAAGAAAAAAGAAGACAAGAATACAAAAGATTTAAAAGTTCACTCATAATACACAATTAATGTACAGTTACTAATGGACCAATAGCACAAATAGCACACATATATCAGCCTCTATTTTTTAATTTAATAATGAACATGTATTTGTATTTATTCCCATTTTTAATTTAAAAGTAATTTTTTCCTATTTTTTAATTTAAAAATTGACACATAAATTTATGTTAAAAATATATATAAATAAAATTCATTTATATAGTATTTCTCAGAGTACAAACAAATAACAAATTACCACTAAAAAAAGTTGATATTGGCCAAACTGTGAATTAGTACAATGTACATTTTGCTTTCGTTTTTCAAATTCAATCTCTAAATTGAACTCTAGAGGTAATAAAAAAACTTGAATTAAAAATGTTTATGTACAATTTTTTTTTTTTTGGGGGGGGGGGGGGATATTGGGGAGGGGGGGAATTAATATCTAACTCAATGAGTGTGATATGAAATAAACTACAGTAGTATTAGAAACACAAATAAAATTCACATAATAAATTAGATTTGTGAAATAAAGAATAGGTCCCACATGTAGGAGCATATATGCATGACAAAATATGATTTACATTCTGGACTATTATGTGTGCATCTAAACTTATACCAAATCTGGAAGCTTTGTGTGATTTAGTGAAGGTTAGAGTTGCTATGTGGTTCAAAGCATCAAAACTCCATGTTGATTTCTCCATAAATGATTTGGTCTTTAATCTGCCTTAGGTGAAATATTGTATAAGGAATGGAGGGTGTAGGTTTTAGTTCTAGTCTGGTGCATTTTGGCCTCATAAATGTGTTGGGTTATTGTCTGGAGTTCAAAACAGAAGTTCATTGAATTTTACTGAGTTTGTAGAATGAGAAGGATCAAGCTATTGAGGTTGTGTTATGAGAAGGATCTAATAATGGGAAGGATCATCAGTGTATTTGTGTATTTGTTTGTAGCTAATCTGACTTGATATTGGCTGCAAAAGTATAGGCTGAATTACTATAATATGGAGTGCAGAACTGCTGTGGTAACTTGCTAAAGGTTGCAAAAGTACAGGCTGAACTGCTATAATGTGAAGTGCTGAATTTGCTGTGCTGATATAATAATGGGCTGTTAATTTGGGTCGATGGTGTTTTGTTATGTTTGTTGGAAATATGTCTTGCTGAGTTGTTAAATTGATTTGCTAGGCTTAGGCGTGGGATGTTAAGTTTGGGATGATGTGTGATGCTATGTTGCTGAACTGCTGGTGGTCTGTTGTTACATTGGTTGGATATGTTGGTCTGATGGTGGTCTGCTGGTGGGCTCTGGGCTGCTAAGCTAAGGTTTGCTAGTATGCTATGGTTGAATCTGCTGTGTAATTCTGGGCTGTTGACAAAGGTTCAAGTATGCATTTTGCATTGATTTTGGCTTAGGTTCATGTATGCAAAGTATGCCTTCCTTCTGCTGTGTCTGCTGTGTTTGTTCTGTTTAGTTTTTCTGTTTTGTTTTTGGTTCACTTTGTCTGTGTTTTGTTCTACTGAGTTGTTTTCTTTTCGGGTTTGGTTCCTCACCAAACTCCTTCCCTTTTTTTGATGTAATCTCATATCTTGTATGGTTTTCCACCAATAAAGGTTCCTTCTTTTTGCTGATAAAAAAAAAAATGCATTGCTAACTAATGAAGCATTCAATTCTTATCTTCTTCATTATAAATAAACAAATAAATAAATAAGCGTTGAGTTGATCCAACTATTAGGCTATACTAATGACCTACACTAATTTTCAAATGTTTACTAGAGGAGGTGCAGTTCTTATTGTTAATTGTCAAGGTAAAAAGTTCGTAAAAAATTAATTTTAAAAAAAAGCCAGAAAATAAACAAATTACCACTAATGATTTGACTATGGTTACACACAATGGGTGGGGTTTCTGATGCAATTTATAAGGTTTATAATTTTTTATTTTATTTTAAAAATATGTGTTAAAGTATTTGGTACAATTTCTGAACAACTTTTTGATAAGAAAAATGAAACTTTATTGATGAAGAAAGCAATACATGCAAAAACTTACATCAGCAAAGAGGGAAGTGCAGAAAGTATCAACGCTAACCTTAACAATCCCAACTAGGTTGACACCGCTAAGGAAGCACAATTATTTGCAAGCACTTGACACAAGATTGGTGAGAAACCAATCAAAAGGCACCAAAAGAAAAAGAAGAACAAAAAAAAACACATTCACAAAACCAACCAATATGGCCTCAACATAGCTGCACATATGCCTCATAACCTCATAATAGCTACATAGTCCAGACCAATCAAACAGACCAGACCAATCCACTGAATAGCAGCATTCAGACCTTACACCAGACCTTAGACATCAGACCATACAGTATCAGACCTTACACCAAAACTTTTAGCAGCACTTAGACACATTCCTTTACCACAAAACAGCGCACTAGCAACAACAAAAATAGCAGCAACCAATTAGCAAAACATAACAAACCAGAAGCTTTGCTACCTTGAACTCTATTCAAACCAACAACCAATTCAAGCAACAAACAAACCAATAACTAACCATTCAAAAAAAATAGAAAGCTAGTTGGTGAGACCAAAAACACAACACCTAAGCATAGACTAATGAACCATTAAAAATCTCATATGGGCAAGCAGAGTATTGGCAGCAGAGTGATAACAGTAGAGTAAAAGACTAGTGACCCTCTACACCTAACCAAGCATCTGTTGCATGCCACCAGACTTGAGCCAAATCATTTAACCTCCATTTCTGATGCGAAACTTCATCTAGATTCACTCCAATCCTCACAGCAGTAGCCAGAAAAGGTTGGAGAAGCCACCATTCAGACCAGTGTAAAACTAATCATAGCAAAACCAATGCCAAAGCAGCTCCAAATCATTGAGACTCCAACAGTAGCATCATACATCAGTAGTATACAGCAGCATAAGAACAATTATGCCTCACTCCCTTATGTTGCCTTGAAATAAACAGACATAGACAACAGGACATACTACAAAGAGACAGATACTACAAAGAGACAGTTTTTGAACAACTTATGAGGCACAAATTGCTTAGGATAAATTATATTTTGTTCCCCTTAGGTTTCATGATTTTCTCAATTTGGCCCTTCAATGAAGTTTTTTTTTTTCCTACTTTAAAACTTATCGTGGCCTTCAAATACTAGTATGTATCATATAACCATAATTCCAATTTTTCTATAAAATTCACATTTTTCTTTAAGTAGAATTTCAATTCTCTGGGATATTTTGGTTATAATTGCATGTGTGTAATTAAATAAATTTGGAAACAAATAGAAGGAAAACCTAGTAGGTTAATGAAGAAGGCAAATTTAGCCAAACGGTAATTATGATCATGGATCTTGGATCACAACTTCAAAATGATGGATTAGCCCAACTACCAAGGTGATCAGACAGCTTGGTTCAAACCACCAGATAGGCCCAAGGTTAGAGGCCTTAGAGCGAAGCTAGGTGATGACGGCCATTTGGGCCAAGCGAATTGTCGAACAAGAAGCTCATTAAGGTAGATAAGCTTGCCCACTCAACACTTAGCTATGTATCGCCGCATGTTATCAATTAGACTAAGTGAATAGATTAGTTTTTGTCCACTTATTTTAGTCCAATTTTTAAGTGGGCATTATCAATTGGACTAAACTAAAATAATATGAAAAATTTTAAAGATAAAATTGATGCAATCATAACTATAACAACTAATTTGACACAAAATAAATTACAGGATTACGATTGTAATTTGTTCAATACACAATTTTTAGAAAACCTTTTTAAAAAGGAGTACTTATTGATAAGACGACACTAAATAAATGGCAAATTTGAAGTTCATACCATTTAATATGGTTGTTGATAAGGGATAGATGTAATTTTATTAGATTATTAAAATAAGGGATTGTTGTAAGAGTTTGTTCTAATCTTGTTGTACTGTAATCTTACTAGATTATTATAATAAAGAATTGTTGTAATCTTACTACATTATTGTACGAGCACAAAATAATCTTCTCGTATAATTCTGTTGATCAAGTTTGCACTTCTCCAAACGTTGTCGTTTTATTACCTAAAAACACAAACGTGAGCTAGTCGGCGAGGGTGTGCCGGAAACCTCTCCGATACATAAGTCAGCGAATAGACAATAGACACAAAAGCTCAGTGTAATTGAGAGTAAGAATTGCAATACCTGTGCATAGGTCCTATCATGAGTTTTTATAGAATCTGCTTGGCACAATCCTAGCAGGACTCTAACTCTCCTTAGTAGAGTCCTTCTAGGAACCACTTTCCCTAGGATAAAGCCTATCCTGAGAACACCCTTCTCACTGCCAACCATTTGAGATGGCTCAAACGCCCTACCTTGGTTGGTAATACTATCAACCAAGCTAACACGGTCCTGCCCTACGCTGGATAGAACCAAGTGGCATTCGACATAGCTAAAACCCAGTTAGACACTTTGCATTGGTTATACCTCGGTTCGATTCTTGATTACATCTAGTCCACCTGCTCCAAGCCCTGGCTTAATGTCTGTACGGCTCAAGATCGAACCACTCAAGCACTTA